GAAACGTTGTACATTTGCTGTTATTGTAAACTTATAATAAAGTTTTTCTTCATTACCCATTCAAGCCGTTTCCAACCATTATTAGTCTCTCTTTCGATTTACCTACAACAACAAAATGATACTTTCCACATCTTGTGAATTCTGTACTACGCCAAGTTCAGATTACCAATAAATAGATGAACCCTCACCCCCACCCTTGAGAAAAAAAAAATTGATCACATTTACGATAGCCTGAACAAACTTTTAGGCCACACTTTAATAAAATCTTCAGCGACCCCATAGGTCTAGCTTCTGTCTTGTAAATACGATGTATAATAGTGTTTCTGCCTTAAATATTGCTAAGGGAATGTCTACGAAATTCGGGTAGATGGTATTTTGTGTTATAGTATTTGTTACCTCACGTCAGTTCACATGTTGTAGTATATAATTTGGAGCTCCGAAAAGTTGAGAAAATCAGGAATTTTAGAAATTGCTTGGAAGGTCGACACTATATATCTGTTCAAATACAAATCGTAAAAACTTCAGCATACAAAACAGTAAAGAACGTTAAAGTTAAATTAAATTCGCGCTGTACGAAAAAATAAACAAAAATACCAATCTGCTGGATTGCTTTTGCTTTGTTTTGCTTTTAATTATGCACAAAGCTACACAAGGACTATCTGTGCTCTGCCCACCACGGGTATCGAAACCCGGTTTTTAGCGTTTTAAGTCCGCAGACATACCGCTGTGCCACTGGAGGGCCCAATCTATTCGAAACTGAAAAATATTTAGTTCCGGAGTGATAACTTGGGTGATATCACTCAAAAGGCGTTGGGGATATCCTGAATCTTCAATTATCTTTTTAAACGCATGGGAGAAACACGCATGAAGCTACAGGTCTAAAACTTAATAAAGGGATAATGCCACAATATATAAGGTTTCGACTACAATTTACTGCCCATGGCTGATTGTATGTATTGTAATTTGTAGTAACGCTTAACTTTAGAATTAGATGGACTAGCTAAATATATATATATACATATATAGCACAAATTAAAACGTGTTACTTTATGAAACTATGATATTGTACAATGAAATATATTATTGGCGGATGAAATATTAACGTGTACTGAATATCTCCAGCTATATTATTGGTGGATATAATACGAACGTGTATTAAATAATCGTTTCTGATAATCGTGCTGCTACAGAAATCATCAATATTTTAAAATTTTGATAACTGTTAACTTCTGTTACAACATCGGTCAACCACTACCTTTAAAACTTACCTGTTAAAGTTATAAGAGAACAAATCTTATATATACCCGCCTACCCCATCTAGCAAATACTAGAGCATTCATGAAAAAACAAGATAGTTCTAGAAAATAGAGGGCGCCACACCAGTCACGTGACCTCGATGACGCAACAATAGGATGAACCATTGTTGCTGTTAAATAAACAAACCATACACAGAAATATTTGTAACATATGCAAAACATAAAGAATGAGCTTTACGAAATAATACAGGAAAAGCTGAGTAAACGATTTTGGACAGAAATTTCAAAAAAAAATAAAAAATACCAAAAATATGAGTAAACGATCTGTAACAACGTCATATACAAATCACACGAAAATGTAGAAGAATCTAAATAGAAGATTTGTGAAAATACTAATGTGAAAGTCACACAAAAGTCTAGAAAAATCCGAGTAAAAGATCTGTGACAACAATCATAATAAAATCACACGAAAATGTAGAAGAATCTAAATAGAAGATCTGTGAAAATACTAATGTGAAAGTCACACAAAAAGTCTAGAAAAATCCGAGTAAAAGATCTGTGACAACAATCATAATAAAATCACACGAAAATGTAGAAGAATCTAAATAGAAGATCTGTGAAAATACTAATGTGAAAGTCACACAAAAAGTCTAGAAAAATCCGAGTAAAAGATCTGTGACAACAATCATAATAAAATCATAAAATACAAATCCGAGTAAAAGATAATGGCAGTAATCATATCGCAAAAAAGTGATAGGTAAACCATGGTAACTGTTGCTTGTATGAATGTTTTTTTCTTCTTAGACTAGAATCTTTTCTATGCATAAAAGAACTGTGTTCTTTTATCAAATTGCCCGAATTTCCTTTTTTTGTGTGTGCGTGTGTCGTGTAGTCCCTTTTAAATCTAAACTTCACCACTTTGCAACCTTACTTTTTTCGCAGACCAGGGGCATAAACCTCACACACATATATATATATATATACAGCATAACATATCACTCATCATTCTTGAAACGAGATTTTAAGAAAACACATAAAGGCTCTTTAAATATTGTCCTTTTAGATAGTTTTCTTTACATTTGTTTATCTTATACACAGATAATGAGTTTGAGTTGTAACGTAAAATTATAGGTACCTAAGTTACCGAAAATTTGCTACGTAAAATATACAGCTACTAATATAATTTATTGTTATTTATCACTATGTTTTACTTGCACGGCAGACGACAACGAGCTTGGCAGATGTCTTCCAGTTTTTTCTGATTGGTTCTCAGGCATGAAGATAAACCTAAAAAATGTTCATGTTCATTTACAAATTGTGATGAATAAATAATACACAAACGTAGAAAATAAAATTCATATTAAAACAGACCTGGTTAACATGAGAATATGAATACTTTAAAAACAACATCATTGATCCATTAACTCGTGGGTCAGAATTATAAAGCTCTTCTGAAAATACAAAACTTAAGAACAGTATACGTCAGGCCAATAGGATTAAGAACAGCATGTGACAAGCCAACATGATTAAGAAAAGCATGTATCAAGCTAGTATGATTAAAAACAGCATACGTCAGGCCAAAAGAATTAAGAACAGCATGTGTCAGGCCAAAAGGATTAAGAACAGCATATGTCAGGCAAACATGGTTAAGAACAGCATGTGATTAGCCAACATGGTTAAGAACAGCATGTGACAAACCAACATGATTAAGAACAGCATGTGACAAGCCAACATGATTAAGAAAAGCATGTGTCAAGCTAGCATGATTAAGAACATCATGTCTCAGGCCAACATGGTTGTCTGTTTTCTTGAGTTACTTCTCCTCAAGACTTCTCAACTAGCAAATTAAAGCATTAAATCTGTCGCCAGTTAGTCTTTAAATAGATTTTACCATCAAGCTACAAGTATGTACTACTGCTTATTTTTAACACAGAAATTACATAAATCCACAAGTATATACTACTGCCTATTTTTAACACGCGAACTATATCAAGCCAGTTTTTAATAATACTGTTACGTCTCCGTTTGTTAATTAATTTTCCGTAAATTCGTTCCGACGAAACTTTAGCGACACAAGTCCTTTCTTAAATAAAACTGGTTTATTCTTTCCGAATAGAACTTTACGATACACTTAATTTCAACAGTCGCTCTATAACAACGCTATAACTCACGTCTCACGTGGCCAACAATATTTTGTCCGCATACATTCAATTACTCATTACCTCTGCGTCTATATCTAGTAATCTCACGACAGTTCACGAAGGTTCGAGAAGGACGTGACATGATACTAATCACGTGACCTGGCTGACGCAACAATACACTATATGAAGCCACAAATGTGTCTTACTACCTGTTTAATATATACATTATATCAAACAATATACATGTATGTGTATTACTGCCTGTTTTTAACACCCACGTTATATCAAGGAATAACTATGTATTACTGCCTGTTTTAACACCATATTTTAAGCTACAAATATGTATCACTGCCTATTTTTAAACACACGCATTATACCAAACAACAATTGTGTATTACTGCTTGTCTCTGACACACTTATCAGTACCTCTGACTTTCTGTGCTTAGAACTAACCAAAATACATTTTTGATCTGAGAACTGCGATCGTAATAATTTTATTTCATAGACATTTTTATTCTTGCATTTATCATATATTTTAAAACTTTTTTTGTTTTTAGTTATATTTGAAATCATTACCTAAAATAAAAACTATTGTATTTTGGGTAGATTTTGATAAGTTTTTTTTCATCAGAGTACTAATCATATTTCCTTATATTTTCAAACATAAAACACTTAAAGGTAAACCGTCTCGTAAAACGATGACTTATTTTTATTCAAATGAAATATTGAAAAACACTTTGAGAAATTACCAGTCATTTTAAAATTTGGTATCTATTTACATACTTCATGTGTAGTTAGAAATTACGAGTTTAATATTGATTACTAAAGTTTAGAGACGGCTTGAATGAGTAGCGAAGAAAATTTTATTACAAGTTTAAATAGTAACAACGATTTGGTCATCATCATCATCATCAAAACTTTGTCGAAACGTTGCACATTTGTTATAGTGTTAAACTTGTAATACAGGTTTCTTCGTTACTCATTTGAAGTAGTTTTCTCGTCACCAGTTTTAATACTGATCACTTTTGAAAACATCCCTTATTCATTGACTTTGAAGTTGTTTTTTATAAATTAATTTTGTACATTTTTTGAAACTTAACTTTCATCTCAGGGAATATTTTGTTTTTCTATATATTTTATGATCCAACAAGAGGTAAGTGCAATAGAATAGGCTCCTAACTGTTTGGTATAAAATTTTATGAATTATTCTATAATAAATTATTGTCAAAAGAACTTATTACAGAGATAAACAAAATACTTTATACAAACTGGTTACTTTAATACAACTCGTTCCTTGATGGGTCAGCAGTAAATTTAGGAGCTTAAAACGTTAAAGTTTTGGGTTCGCTTCCTGAGGAAAGATCGCATATAGCCCATTGTGTGTCTTCGCGCTAAAAGCAACAACAAAATTATTATCATCCGTTGCACCCAATCGCAGAACACTACATTTCTTTGCGTATGCAAAATAGGTTGATCATATGATGAGTCACGTGCTATAAGTAAAAAGATTAGTCTATAGCTCAATGAGTAAGAACAGTAACTTTAAAACTTTCAAAGAACATGATAGAGGGTGTCTGTTTGGTATAAACGTCAGTACCAAAGATCGCTTCTTTTATATTTTATTATATAGTTCATATATGTACATGACCATCATGAAAGCAGGAATGCCAACCTCAGGGATAAGTTTTACCTTTCATCCTCAGTGGTAAAGTCTTATTGACAGGGATTATTTTTTAAACGTTACGGTTTAAACACCGAAAACCAGCGAAGCATTGGACATCAATAGGCTTAAACTCTGCAATAAAAATCACACAAACTGCAAATATTTCAGTGAACAAAACAAAAAAAGCTCCTGTGCCTTGAGCGACATTTATTTCTTTCGTTTCACGAGAATGGCAAACAGTGCAAGTTCGTCACTCACCATACCGGTCTATTGAGTATGAGCGATTACCAAATGCACTTACAGCCCTCGCGGCGTTAAACGTCACTTAAGTTTGGCATTAGCTTCATGGAGGAAAAATTTAAATGGATGCGAGACTCGAACCCTTTGTCCGATTGTTACCCTTTTAAATTCTATCTTTAGGAAATTCACATGAGCTCTTTTACCAAATTTCATCGAAGTTATTTCAGCCAAGCTATATCTATACATATAGAAAATATTTCACGGGGGGTGGTGCGATGCATGTGCATCTTTACTAAATATGAGTGGTTAGAGTTCGTTAAGTAAGCAATAGCAAGTGGAGAATCGAGATCATCGTAGAACAAGAAACGTTCCTCCGATTACTTATCCATTCAAACTCGACCTCTGGAGAATCCTCTTGAGTTCCTCTATCAAATGTCATCGAAATTGATTCAGCCAGCTCCTCCAAAAGTTGTGACGTCAAACAACAAACAGACGAACAACTCTGCTTTATATATAGAGAGAGATGTGTATTTAGATGGAAAATAAACATTACAAGACGATGTATCGAAAAACTACAAAGATGAAAGAGAGGTGATTTCGAACTAAGTCACTGTTTAATACACATTTATGGTTTATGGCAGTATGCAAATCTTTATGGAAACCTCGTGTGTCAAAACTGGAAGCAGTAATGAGGAATTTCGCATTGTTTCAATTCATGTTGTGACTTGTGAATAGAACATTTTCAGTAACAACGGAATCCAGAAATGTTTTCTTTCCATGGAGCTTGATTATGTTCAAGATTATGTTGTTGTTTGTTTTGTTTTTAATTAACAAATGCCTCTTTTCACCTATTAAGAATGTGTTACGTAGTATAGTAGAAATAGGATTTGAATCGAAAAAAACTGTAAGAGAGAGAATTGCGCTGCAGTGTTATCAGGAAATATGTTCTGTACAACATATTTAAAATCAGACAAAAGTAGGGCAGGTGAAAGCGGGTTTTCTTGGAGGGACCAGACTTTTCGAAATAAAAAAAATTCCCTAGTCCGCTTCTGTAATTGTATGGGTTAGAGATCGGTAAGTTTTGGTCGCGCGGCAAAAGGTAACATGTCGTTAGAATCATCATGAATTATACTTTTGTTTGATGAAATTCAATTTTGCGTTAAGTCATCACTTCACAGTGGTACGTAATCTTCCAAAACTATGAGCCTCAAGTATCGAAATTCGAGTTTTGTTTTCGCCACATAACGTAGAAAGTAAAACTTAATATTTCATTTTTAATATTTTTGTATATAGATCGTAGATGTTCGACAACGTACTAAAATTAGACAAACTTTAAAATATTGTAATTTATAAATATGATAAAGGAAAGTAGTATAGATATTTTGGACAAATAAGAATGTTTAAGAAAGGCTGAATGATGCAACAAAACTTGTGAAATTACGTCTTGATCTTACTGATACCAGAGAATCTAGAGTTCAAAGGTATTTATTGGAATTTAAAAAAGATAATGTTGTAACTGAGAAACAATATTTGAAAATTAAACCATCAGATACTCGTCCAGATATTCTTTGTGATTTTCCTAAAATATATAAAGAAGGATGTCTACGACCTATATTCTCAACTCTTGGAACTTATAATCATGTTGTGGCTAGTTAAGTTATTCATATAACTTTAAGATTTTAACATGGGCCAATGACGATCAATGCTACCGTATAAGGAGAGCCTACTCACAAACAAGCTCTAGCCAGAAATTATCTAAGTAAGTTCTATATCTAATCTAAGTTACGTTTGGCTTCATTCCAAAACATTATATTCTGGTTGTTAGAAGAGAAGTATGCAATTTATGAATAAGAAATAATTCAGAAATCAAAGATCGTATCGCCTATCTACATCACTTAACTTTCCTCTTCTGAAAGAACTCGTTGAGAGTTTGTGAAAGTTTGTCCACTGCAGCTACTACAGATATTTGTACAATGGAGACCGTAACGTCGGCCATCTTGAATCAATACAGATTTGCTGATCCATTTGATCATGCGCAGCAGTTTAGATAGCGCTGGATGTTTATAATAATAGCTTTTATTTATACAAAATTTTAATTCCTATAGGAACAATAACATGCATGGCCTCGGGTCAGCTGATGTTGAAAATTTTATGAGTTCTTGCAGCAAATTATTTCAGTGAATTGAAATTGAAATAAGTATGGAGAATTTAACCACCATTTTATTTGGTTCTGTAAAAAAATTGCATCTGTCAAATCTGGCGATATATTTTGTTGTTTCCTATAAATTTCGTCAAGATGGATAAACTGATATTTGTACCAAACATTTGGTTTTTTTTTTACTTTGAAACCAAATTATTCCCAGGCTTTATAATTCAGAAGATTTTTTATGACATTATAATCATCAAAGTCGAGTGGGGTAGCCCGTATATTTGCCCCCCCCCCCATACTCCAAAAAAAGAAAAAAAACTCTTTCGCCTGTCCCAAATCTTGTCCAATTTTAAAAATAAAAATTCGGTTAGAAATATCAACACTTCTTGAAATAAGAGCTGTTTACATCTTCCTTCCTGTTTACTATTTACTGTTGAGTTACAAAAACATATCATATTTATAACTTTTTATTAAACATCTTAGGTAGTTTACCATAACATATCTATGTTCACTAAAACGTTAAGTAAATATCAGATTATGTTAATTTTAATGACGAAAAATTTCCATTTTATTTAATTATCTTTAAAGGTTTTCTTTTTTTTCCCCACCCAGAAATTGTACTGGAAGGTTTTAATCATCTACATAATGGTAATTATAAGGAGCTTCTATAGAGAGAGAGAGTTTGGATTAAAATATAATTTTTTCTTACTTTTGTTTCCGCAGCATATCGTTACATTCAGACCATAGGTTATAGCCAGGCGGGCTTTGGTACATCCACAAGTATCAAGTATAGTTTCAATGTAGCACTCGTCGATGCAGTTCTGTTTCGTTTTGTTTTTATCGGAAGAAAACATTTTAATCAACATCTCGGAAAATATTTTTACTTGACAACAAATACTCTAAACATTTATAGTTACTGTGTAACCTAATTCATCCTTAAGCCTTTCATGAGTATAAAAAAGTCACTTTCTGAGAGGATAATTTAACAGGTGCAACACGAAAATAATTCAATTAAGATCGCCCATGTAAAACCAGAAACAGAGCTAGAGTTAACGAAGCTACTTAAATTTCTAGTTATTGATGAGAAATTAATAATGTTTTTCTTTATGTTACTGTGTACCATACAGCCTATTGTGTAGCTTTGTGCTTAATTACAAACGAAAAACAAACTAACTTACTTCTTGAGTCATTGTGGCGTTTGTTCGCTTCTCTCTGTTAAGTGTTGTGTAATCTAAACAATTAGTTTGATACGGAGTGGGAAGCAGTTTCGTGGTTCTCTGAAACAAAGTAATAGGCTAGTGATTATGTAAATATAAATGAGCTAGGTAATCGCTGTAATTAATAATATAAAAAGAGAAATTCTGTAATTCTTAAAAAATAGCCCCCAGTGGCACAGCAGTATGTCTGCGAAGCTACAACGCCAGAATCCGGGTTTCGATACCCGTGGTGGTCAGAGCACAGATAGCCCATTGTGTAGCTTTGTGCTTAATTACAAACAAACAATTAAAATATATATTTATTTTTTGGGGCGAAACGACTGTGAAGAGAGTAAATAAAGGTAACACCCACAATGGTTATTGTTATTTTAACTGAATTTAAGCAGATTAATAAAATACAAGAAAAACAAACACCTACGTTATGATATCGTAGCTCTTTCTCATTATTTGTTAGGCACCTTACCTTTTCAACTTTAAACCGGTAGGCTTTACCAGGTTCTATGGTAACACTGTGAAGTTCAGGATTAGGAACAACTTCAGGTGGATGCACCATTAGCCTCCCTCTTACACTCTTCTCTATTACTGAATATTCTCTACTGTCAAAATGTAGCAACAGTCGTAGTTCTGGAAAAAATACCTTATTACAATTCGGTTTATTTCAATTCTTTCTGCACTTATTACCAGCGAGTAACTTGATAATTTTCAATATAATTTTAAATTGAGGTCCAATTTCATCTATGTAGTTTTCAAATTAGTTTTCTTTAGTTTGAGTGTGAGTGTTTTTTAATTTTATCTTATAAGACTCAAGAACAGTAAAATACGTCTGAGTGATATCAATCCCAGCGGTGTTCTAGATTCAGCAGAATACTTGCACTAACTTAAAATTACTTTTACATTTTATGAAGTAGATTATCAGGGAAAGGAACTTCTAGTTGTTACATATGGATGATTCCTCAACATAACCTTGCAGTTAGTTTTTGTTTGTTGAAATTCGCGCAAAACCACTCTAGGGCTATCTGTCCCTAATTTAAATGTTATAGACTAGAGGGAAGACAGGTAGTCAATATCACCCCTGGCAACTTGTGGGATTGACCGTCACATTATATCGTCCTCACGGCTGAAAGGGCAAACATATTCGGTGACTGGATTGAAACAGAGACCCGCAGATTGCGAGTCGAGTGTCCTAACCACCGAGCTATGCCAGGAGCCGCATTAAGATTTTCACGTTTGTTTGTTTATTTTTCAGACCATGGTAATTTTAAGAATTATTATTTTGTCATATGTTTACAAGTTAAGTTACTAGCTTTGCGTAAATATGTTAATATGAATATGGTACTGCTCTCTGTCGATTCATTTAAATACGTAACGTACAGTAACTTGGACTATTAATTCACCACGAAACAAGATCCATAATGTGATTCAATTTAATTCATGAGAACAGTTGAAAATTGCTGATTGTGTTGTCTGTTAATACAATGAAAGTTTTAAGACTTGCATAATTAATTGATTCAGTTTACACGAGTATTTAGTTAAAACCAAGCCTACTGATTACTAACTGTTATACACTTCGAGCAATACCAAGTAGTATCTTTCGAGTACTAACAATTTCAAGCAATCTGTTATGAATAATTAATACCTTCTAGTTTTCAAGCTATTTCTAGAATTCGTATTTTCATCGTTTTTCAAAATTTGTAGTGCACGCTGGAGGGATTTAGACATTTTGACAATAAAGTTAGAAAAAAACCTTTACTATCCAAATATTATTATCTGGAGAGTAAAGGCAATTTTTTTTCTGACTTTATTGCCAAAATTCATATACATTTTTCAATTTTTCGGTACTTAAACAAATGAGCTCACATTAAGTACAAATAACTATAATGGTAAACATGCAACACAACCTACCAGTGTTAAAGTTATCTAAACTCCAATAAACGGCAGGTGACAACTCGAAGATGTTTCCACCCCACCTAGCGTTAAAAGTGTAACAGTTGCCATAGTAGTAGTTGAAAAACGTCGAAATGCTCCTAAGGTACCCAAGATATTGAAAAGAGTTACAATAACAAATTTTCTGCAACATCAACTGATATAAATGTCATTAAATTAAAATCGCTCAATACGTCACAAATAAGCAAACAAATTATATTAGAGAGCGTGTTAAATCAAACACGTTTTTTTACTTGTTTTTATATAGAATGCTAAGAAATCAGGCCTGGAGAGATAATCCTCAAGTAAGTGGGTTAGCCCTAGTTTTCTTGACATCTATTGATCTGTGTTTGGCTGCAGGGGACAACGTGACGCGGTAAGGTGTAGATACCGTGTGACTGCAGTTCAATTACTCACTATTGTTGAAGTTAACGTTCGTTCGTTACAGTGTTGTTTTAGGGCGAGTATTGAAATTAATTGTATCGCAGAGTTATATTCGGAAAGAATAAACCAGTTTTATTAAGTAAAGACTTGTGTCGTTAAAGTTTCGTTGGAACAAAGTTACGGAAAGTTAATTAACAAACGGAGACGTAACATATCATTAAAAGTACTGATTGGTTCCATATAGAAAACTTCAGCTTCTTAAGTTCACTCTGATAAACTATTTATAAGTCAAACTTTGTTGGTTAGGGGAACGACTGATAACATATGGGTTATCATAATAAAACACCATCAATGCTGTAATTATCCCTATTAATTACCATTGGGTCTTATCTGTCTTATGTTTGGATTAGTTTTTTGTTTTGTTTTGCATTAGGTATTGTACAAGGCAAAAAATAAATGTCTTAAACATTTATACTTAACTGGAAGTGAGTGGGATAAAAACAAGTCGGTAATTTGAGGATTGATGTATTTCCCACTGAGACTCCCTCCCACCAGAAACATGACTGTACACCTACAACACAATACGCTTAAGGTAATAAATACATACGTATTTTCATTAATATATCCAAACATACATAGAAAAAATAGCTGTATTGGACGCATCATGTGTCAGTGGTGGCTAACGTAATCTATAATACTGTTACGTCTCCGTTCGTTAGTTAATGTTCCGTAAATTTCTTTCCGATGAAACTTTAGCGACACAAGTCCTTTTTCAAATAAAACTGGTTTATTCTTTCTGAATACAACATTGCAATACACTTAATTTCCACAGTCGCGCTATAACAAACGCTATAATTCACAACTAACGTCTCACGTGCTCGACTCAACAATATTCTCTCTCTCTGTCTGCAGTTCAATTACACAGCATTACATTGTTGCCGTCATGTCTTGACCGTCTTATATATAAAAGAATACCAAAATCTAGTAAACGCTAAAGCATTCAGGAACCTTAGAGAATATGACGTGTTACCAGAGTCACGTGACCCCGCTGTCGTAACAATACTAAAATAAAGAAACACAAGTGGAGAGCACCATACTATTTGAATGGAGCTATAAAAGAAGAGATAGAGAAATGTTTAAAATCAAGCAAATAATTAATTTACTTGTCCTTAGACATTAGTATTAGGCCTATTATATTTTAACAATACTGTTGCGTCAGCAGTCACATGACTACAGTGACGCAACGTTTCTAGAATTATCATGTACTTTGGCGAATGCTCTAGTATTTACTAGTAGGGTAGGCTGGTATATATATAAGAGGGAAAAACTTGACGCGGGAGGAGAGGTAATGTGTGTATTGAAAGTGAGTAATTGAACTGCAGTTAGAGGGTATTGTTGAAGTTAACGTTCGTTCGTTACA